TGTGTGTGTGTGTGTGTGTGTGTGTGTGTGTGTGTGTGTGTGTGTGTTTTACACATATCTACATTAACACACCAACACAGCAGAGATGCCAATGGATTCTGCACCAACAGGTGGCAACACACACACACGCACACACACTTCTGATCCACAGGTAATTACTGCCGAAGCTCCATCGACAAACGATCAGTAAACATGTCTACAAACACGTTTCTTCCTCTTCATCCTCATTTTCACACACGTTCATTCGGCCAGATTGGGTCCAGTGAAATTTATTACAAGTTTAGGATTTTGTGTTGTTTAAATAAAAGAAGAGAAATAAAAAATTTGAAATCTATTATTTTTCTAACAGAATGAGACCTGAAGAGAAGCAGCAAACTCACCTCGTCCCATTTCATCAAGTTGCTTCCGTTCCTCAGGGTGTGTGAGACCGAGGGAGGCCGGAGTTTCAAGGCATGGACCCCCGGCTGAGCGCTCGCCATAGCTTCACACACACTCACACACACACACACACACACACTGGAGATGCTCAGAGTCTAATACGAAGATGCTGCAGCTCAGTCATCTCTGAACTTCAACTCCTCAGAAGTCAGAAGCTCGGCTGCAGCAGCATCCTTTCTTCTTGGTTTCTCTGCTTACTTTTTCTTTTTTTTTTATTATTCTTTCTATTCTCCTGCACTCTCCTCCTCCTCCTCCTTTTTCTTCTGTCTCCTTCCTCACACCTCTCTCCTCTTCTTATCCCTCCCTTTGCTCATCTCTCCTCTCTGTTGGTGCTGCATCTCACAGAGAGGCAGACTGAAACAGATGCCTTCGTGGGAGACAGGATGCATGCTTGTGTGTATGTGTGTGTGTGCGCGTGCATGCGCTGCCTCCACAAATTGACTCATTGTGACATGCGCACAATGGCAGCTTCCCACAGATGGGGGAGGGATGAGAGAAAAAGAGCAAGAGCAACAGAAAGAGAGAGAGAAAGAAGAGGAAAGAAAGATTTTAATTAAAGGCCTAGCATTCCTTGAAGGAATGATAACCCCCTGCTGCCGTTCATGACAGAGTCTTACACTGAGATCTTCTCATGAAGAGAAATGACAGAGCTGTAGCCATTTTGGTCAAAGCTTAAAACATAAGATATCACAAAATGACTCTCAGCTTTTATTGCCTCAAATTTTAGCTCAATATGTGAAAAGCTGACCGAGCTATAGCCATTTTCTATCATCTAAGCAGTGGAGAACCCTCGGGGCCTTCAACGCCTTCAGAGAAGTCCTACAAACTCAGCTCACAAGAAATGTTACATTCAGAATTTTAATTCAATATTTGCTTTACGTAAAATATATATTATTTTTATGCTACTACTTTGATTTGAGCAAGGATTTATTTTAATTCGTGGAAATCCAGTAATCCAAACAGATTATTTAAAATTTCTGTCTCTAGGTGTAAACAGAAGGAGCTCTCGTTGGTTAGGACTTCACTGTCAGGAGCGAAGGCTGAACTCAGTCAGAGTCGCTGCAGGAGAGGTTTGATCAGTAACTGACAGAAAAATGAACCAATCAGAATGCTGATATAAAGAGGGTGGGACCAAAATATGGGATTCAAGACTTTGGGAAGGTGCTCAGCAGTAATGACCTCATGAAGTTTTGAAATGTATTCACTTGCAACGTGTAAATTCAAAATTCCACAGAGAAATTGTTGTTGCTCCAAAATGTTTATTTATTTATTTATTTGTAATTTCAGCTTATTCCATCCTCAAGGGTCACCACAGTGAACTAACCCTCATAAAACTCAGCAAATGTTTTTACGTCAGACGTCCTTCCTGACGCAACCACAGACCACAGAGCTACCACAGCACTCTGTGTGGAGCAGAGAGCTGCTATCTAGGGCACCCGGGGGAGCAGATGGTGGGGGTTATGGGCCTTTCACAAGGGCCCAGAGTGGAGCAAATGAGGGTGGAGGCAGGTGTGAGTATTTCACCTTTCCCACCCACATTTTGATGTTGGTTAGGGGGGTCAAACCGGCATCCTTCTGATCACAGGCTTGCCAAATAATGAAGGTTAAATATCACATTTATGTTTACGTTTGCATCACATGTGGTACATGAGGTGGAACAATATTATGTTCACAGGGTGCCAGTTACACCCAAAAACAGCAATGTGTGTGAATGTTTTTGTTCAGTGCCCTGAGATATCTTATGTTGTGACTTGGCGCTATACAATAAATTGAATTACTGTTAAATTTCAGGATATATTATAAAAATTACATGTTGTACTTGAACGCAAGAGACTGTGAGCCGCATGTCCTTCTGGGTAAGATTTAGATAGAAATGGACCTTTTTACAGTTATGTGCATGCTCAAAGTCAGTATTTTGCAAAGCTTTGTGGTCTAAATAATTTCAGACCTACTTCAGGTTCAATGAAATGCACTTAATCTAAACAGTCTAACTCTGTTTCAGCTGCTCCACAGTCATTCAGACACCTGGCAACATTGCACTCACAATGTAAAATATCAATCAATCAATCAATCAATCAATCAATCAATCAATCAATCAATCTCAGGTGCAACCACACTAAATTTTAGCTGAACGTCTGAAAAACTGATGGAATGATGCTGTTTTTGTTCAAATCTCTTCTCTGTGGTGGCCATCTTAAATTTCCCTCTTGCTAAAAGTAGATCAATTGCTGATGTCAACCCAGTGATGACATTTTATTCTCATGTCTGTAATGACTGATGAGATGTTTCACTAAAAGTACAAACAAATGAACATAGACACACACACAGGCAAAAACATCACCGATTCTCCTTCAGCAGCAGGAGATAAAAATTGAAATACAAAAAAACAGGATCCACTTTCAAATGTACCTAACAGCGTTTCTCATGTCTGCAGACAGCACACCCATATGTGCTTCTCTTCCCACAGGCAATAGTCTTTTCCCATAATAGCTTCCTCTTCTGAAAAGCTGTCACTCAGAGTTGAAAATAGAATCCAATAATTTAATTCGTCTTGAACAATGATGTGGTACAATTTGCCTGATGATTCAGTCTGATGGTTTTAAGTATCATAAACAAGTGGTACTCTGATGTCCCCTGTCACTGAAGGATGTGAATAATGAATGTTTGTAGTTTTCGAAACAAGTGTATGTATGGAGTTGAATTGAACAAGGAATACAAGTAAACCTTAATGTTTTTGATGCAAGATATTCAAGTGGGTAAGAGTTACATTGTGTAGATTAAAAGAAGGAACCATCTGAGAAAACTGTCAAGCAATATAAAAACTAGAAAGCATAGTTTCTTTAAATGACTGGGGTGGCTGGTTTACATGCATTTGGTGGCCATCTTAGTTTTTGATGTGGCAACCCAATTTTTGATGATGATATTTCTTACACCTAGTTGCAGCCACACTCTCTCCTCCTTGGGAATACTCTCCATCACTTCATCCAGATCCTTCCAAAAAGTATATTTCTCCTCCACGTCACATCCAGCCTGTGGTGTACAACCACTGACAACATTTTGCATCAGACCTTCTACTTCTACCTTCAGACACATCACCCTATCTGAAACTCTTTTCACCTCTACTACATTATTTTCCACCTCCTCCTTCAGGACCACCCCTGCTCCATTTCTCTTTCTATCTGCACCATGTAAAACAGTTTGAACCCTGCTCCAATGCTGAGAGACTTGCTGCCCTTCCACTTGGTCTCCTGGACACATAAAACATCTACCTTCCTTCTCTGCATCATGTCAGCCAGCTCTCTACCTTTGCCTGTCATTGTCCCCACATTTAGAGTTGCAACCCTCAGTCCTATATTCTTGACTTTCCTCTTCTCCCTCTGTCTCCTGACACGTTTCACTCCTCGTGGTCTTCGACTAACAGTTACATAATTTCCGCCGGCACCGTTTGTCAACAGCACCTGTGGTGGTTGTTGTTGTTGGACTGTTCGGCATGGTGTTGCTTTTGGCAAAAGTATTTTACATCGGATGCCCTTCCTGACACAACCCTCACCATCTACCTGAGCTTGGGACCAGCACAAGAGATACACTGGCTTGTGCTCCCTAGTGGCTGGTTTATTCAATTCAATTGAATTCAGTTTATTTATACATAAATGGGGGCAGCTGTGGCTGAGTGGTTAGAGCAGTCGTCCTCCAATGCAAGAGTTGGGTGTACGACTGCAGCAGTAGTCACATGCTGAAGTGCCCCTGGGCAAGACAGTGAACCCCTCAGCGCCTCAGATGTGTCCCATCAGTGTATGAATGTGATCTGAAGCTCTGATTAATCTTTGTAGATATCTAGTAGAGTGCTGTATGAATGGATAAATGAGGGCACAGATTGTGTTGTAAAGAGCTTTGAGTATCTTGATAAAATAGAAAGGAGCTGTATAGATACAGTCCATTTACGATTTATATAGAGCCCAGTCACAACAGAAGTGACCTCATTTGTCTCAGTACAAAAAACATTCACAGACATTATAAAAGCCAGTTAGTAAATCTATCTTTCTAATCTTATCTAAGTTAGCAAGCAGATTGCACTGAATACTCACTTTGTCACAGTGTCCCATCCTGAGCAAGCACAAAGACAACAGTGGAGAGAAAAAACTCTTTTAACAAGAAGAAAACTGAAACAGAACCAGACACAGGACAAGAGGCCATCTGCTTCCACTGCTGGATTTGAGAGGAACAGGAAGAAAAAACAAATGTACTTTGTGTTAGCATATATATACATA